ACACACCCACACACACACACACACACACACTCACACTCACACTCACACTCACACACACACACTCACTACAGTGCGTCTCTCTGGCTCTCATATCTCCGCTGCACACATGGGTTGATCATTCACCCGGGCCTTCAGCCGAAGCAGCTGCATAACCAGACGTTTCTGAGACACGCGCAGAAAATGATGCACTTCAACAGCACTTTATCAGCAAAACTTCATCAACTCTACATTTAACCCTGACTCCAAACAGACGGGTGAGTTGTTTTTTCAGACAACCTGAAATGCAGTTTTTGCCTGCATCTGTTATGACATCATGTTTACACTCTTTTCGTTTGTTTTATTTTTATTTGATCAGAAACTATAGAATACAAACTGCTTGTCAGTGTATACACTAATCTACTTCCAACTACTATATTATACAAGCTTTTATTAATTAATTATTTGGTAACACTTGTCCTTGTTACACGTTACATGTACTTACTATTATAATAACAATAAATGATGCATAATTACATGCAAGTAATCCTAACCCTAACCATACAGTAACTGCATGTAGTTAATTAATATTACTCAGTAATTCATGTATAATTACACTGCAGCAAGGACACCTTAAAATAAAGTGTAACCATTTATTTAAGATTCATAATGAACTCGTCCAATGGTGTTTATTAAGATGAATAAAAACATAAGGATAATAATTATCATGATACCGTGATCCTCCACTGTGTCTAGCAAACAAACAGCACATTTTAGTCGAACCTCACACAGCAGACATAACCTTTGGGAACAAAGTGTTTATTCGTAGTCCTAATTTGCAGGAGAACTGCAAAGCTGTATTTACCGTGTACACTTGTTCAAACGTCCTTCATGGGTCTGTTTTGTCACAAAAACCTGAAGATCCAGTTTGTGAGCGGCCGAGCAGCATAAGAGCTCAGGACACTTCAGATCCTCACAGATCTGACTCGCAGCTGCTGAGGAACACAGGATGGCTCATTATAATCCAGTAAGAACTTTCATTCTTCACGGTTACATTGTAGAATAGCCAGGCTTTGCTGGGATGTATATGTTGAATATATTTCACTGTCCTCTTCAGTCCTTATCGTCTCCATCAGACGAGGTCAATCTGGGTGTGTCGGTCAATCCTCAGTAAGATCACACTTTTATTTGTCATTTGTCATTTGTCAGAAGAATCCTGTAAACCTTTTTCATATGGAACACGATGGATTTATGTTCATAGATAGTGATTGTGGTGCAGTGACTATTACTGTATATATTATAATAACTAGGGCTAGGCTGTTCATTTGTACTGTCTTGTGTGCTTCAGTGCCAAACCCACTGACTTTGACTTTCTGGCTGTGATTGGTAAAGGAACATTTGGGAAGGTGAGGCGCGTCTGATGCCACTCTCTGATTAACTGTGTCCCGTATGACTTCACCAATCATTAACGCTGCGAAGGTTATCTTGATGAAAGAAATGTTTGGGGTTGTTTTAAAAGCATAAGTGATCTACACGAGAAAAAAAATACAGAAATGCTGTTTTATCCAAAACAATATGTGAGATATCATGTCGATTGCAGGTGCTCTTAGCAAAACTGAAAGCTGATGGAAACTTCTATGCCGTGAAAGTTTTGCAAAAGAAAGTTATATTGAAGAAAAAAGAGGTTGGTGTTCATTTATCTATTTTACGTGCAACCAGCTTGTTTTTCCATACAGTGTTTCATATGAAAGATCCAAACACCTCATTGCTCTGATAATGATAGAATCTAATCTAACTCTGTCCTTTGTACCATGCCAAGCCTGCTGGTCAAAAGACAGGCTCTTGATTTGCTACAGTAGTAACTAATATTCACCGCATGTTTTGACGTTGGAATGTAATTGCTGAACACGATCCCAGTGTGTAATACACAAGCAGTGTGCAAACTGCTTGCAGAGTTTCATTGTTTTAGCACTGAAAAGCTCCTCTTGAAACTGTAGCATTGTCGCTTGTCTTATGCCCTGTCCTGGATGGTGCCGGCTCATATCTGTATTCTCTTGTTCACCTCCGTCAATGCTGCGTTTGTGTGCAACAGCAAAAGAATATAACGGCAGAGAGGAACGTGCTGCTCAAGAGTCTGAAACACCCTTTTCTGGTCGGGCTGCACTACTCCTTTCAGACCTCGGAGAAGCTGTATTTTGTCCTGGATTACGTCAACGGTGGAGAGGTATGGCAAGAAAGCATCACTGATGAATACAACAGGCATTTTCAGAAAAAGTCCAATTGTTTCAAAAACCATTGCAACCGAGAAACTGCGTTCAGCTGCATACAAATGTGACAGATTATTAGAAAACACACAACAAAAATGCAGTATGCACTATGCAGTAGTTCTGTCTGTCTGTCTGTTGCTGCGTGGCCAATCAAAATGCAGGCAGATGAGCATGGGTTGAAGTGGACTAATGATTGGAGACACCAGAGAGAAGTCACAGTAAGAAAAAAACATGCATTTATAGATAGCGATATAGTCATGCTGACTTAAAAAATGAGAGTATATATATTTATTTATTATGCATTTATATATTTACATTGCATTGATGAAAAGTGACAGTAAATACATTTGTAATGTTATAAAATATTTGCATTTCAAATAAATGCTTTTCTTTTGCACTTTTGAGTTATTAAAGAATCCTTTAAGGAAATCAGCATATTAGAATGATTTCTGAAGGATCATGTGACACTGAGTAATGATGCTGAAAATTCAGCTTAACGTTACATAAATAAATTACATTTAAAAAATGCATTTCTTTTAAATTGTAATAGTATTTCACAACATTGCTGTTTTACTGTATTTTTGAGCAAATAAATGCAGCCTTGGTGAGCAGAAGAGGCTACTTTAAAAACAATAAAAATTCTTACAGATCCCAAACTTTTATATACTTATCAAGTACATAAGACTTCATAATAATATATAACTCAGACTGAAGCACTGTTTCACATGATTGACTACATCTGATTAATACAAAAGTGTTTTTGGTTAGGAATTACAAACAGCCACCATTCGGGGTTAAAGACAGACAGGATTGTGACGAGGGACAGCACTATTAATAACCATACTTCTGCTTATACATTTATGTTGAAATGTCCTTATGTTTACAGACATAAACTCAGTTTAAGTACTATATCAGCTCACACAAGTTAAACCATTTTAAACAGATTTCTGTTTTACATTTGACATGCTGGAAAGAAGCAGCACAATCAATCGAATGTGTTAAAAACAGGTCTGCGTGCTCCTTTTCCTTCCCCCTGCAGTTATTTTATCACCTGCAGAGAGAGCGGTGTTTCTCAGAGGCACGAGCTCGCTTCTACACGGCGGAGGTGGCCAGTGCCATCGGATACCTTCACTCTCTCAATATAGTTTACAGGTCAGTAACAATGCTTTCCTGTCATATCTCAGCTGGCCTGAACTCACTTCCATGTCTTCATGTTCCCATCTAGAGATCTCAAGCCAGAAAACATTCTATTAGACCACCAGGTAAAACAGCTCTTTAGGACTAGTGCATGCAATAGTACTAATAAATGCATACGTTTGTTTCTGATCTCTTTCAGGGTCATGTGGTGTTAACAGATTTTGGCTTGTGTAAAGAAGGCATAGAACCAGAAGGAACCACCTCAACCTTCTGCGGCACTCCAGAAGTACGAATCTTGAGTCGAGTCAAATTTACTTTTTACAATACACATTGTTTCAAAGCAGCTTTACAGAAAATCATAATGTTAATGTTTATAATATTCTTATATCTTCGTCGCTTATAGTTGCATTTAGCAGATTAAAGGTGGATGATAATATAGTTCATATTTTGCGACAACACAAGCAATCCAGCACTTTTATGAACATTTATGCATTTGGCAGAATCTTTGATCATAAGTGACTTTGCATTCAAGATGCACATTTGATCAGTTTTTGCTATCTATGGGAATTGAACCTATGACTTTGGCATTCTAGTGCTATGCTCTATTGTTTGAACTACAGGAAAATATATGTGAATGAAGAAGAACATGCTTACAGTATACATCTAACTTCATATAAAAGTCTGGGCAATAATATAGTTACATTTTGCAACAAAAACAAAATTTAAAAAGTTGAGATTTTTAATATAGTATATCTCTTCACGTTATTGTAATGTATGCAGATAAAGCTGGATGTAATGTATATCAGACTTTATAGAGAGCTGTGCAATAATACAGTTATAGTCTTTATTGCGCTATGGACCTAATGCGTCAGAGAAACAAGTGCGCAGCCATTTTTAGGATTTTGTCTTTGAACTTCCGTTTTTAAGGTAGCTCTATAGCAAGGGTGTCAAACTCAATTCCTGGAGGGCTGAAGCCCTGCAGAGTTTAGATTCAACCCTAATTAAACACACCTGATCCAACTAATCAAGTCCTTCAGGCTTATTTGAAAACTACATGGTATGTGTGTTGGAGCAGGGTTGGAACTAAACTCTGCAGGGCTCCGGCCCTCCAGGAACTGAGTTTGACACCCCTGCTCTATAGCATCGCTTTTGAAGAGTAATTAGTTGATGAAGTTGTTTTAGAGTTAACCACTGTTATCAAGAACATCGTAATTTTTAAAGCGGATGTCATAACAAATGTCAGAAGACCGGGAAGATTTTAATACGAGCGGTTCATTCATAAATTCGTAAGATCTTACCATCATGCTGTGGAAATGCACTCCGGAAGACGGAACACAAAAAGGGGCGGAGCGACATAAGGTCTATACTAGTGTACTGTGTGTATGTGGATAAAGCTGGACATACTTTTATATTCAACTTTATATAAAGAGCTGGACAATAATATAGCTACATTTTTGTGACGATATAAACAATTACGCAGCTATAAATAAATAAATGAATAAATAAATAAATATAGCACATATATATATATATATACCGTATGTATATATATATATATATATATATATAT